CCATCAAGTGATTTGAATTTAAATAAAAAAATGGAAAAACACACATGCATACAACATTCTGTAGAATCACTTTGTGACATCTGCTGACGTAAAAAGGGCTTTATAAATACATTTGATTTGATTTGATTGCAAACATACCTGATAGACCTCCATCTTTGTCATCACCATCTTGGGGGTAGCCATCCTCACACTGCAGGGCAGAATACAGACCATTACATAGAGAAATGGATTTGGAGACAGGACGATACACACTGTACTTCATATCAGTAGAATATGAGCAGAACCTAAGTTTAAATGATTCCCCTGTTGGCTAGTACAAACAATACCAAAAGTATAAAAACAATAGAGCACCAGGCTAGAAAGCAATGTGATTGATTGACAGAGATAACGTAGTAATGATTGATTGATTTGTTTGTTTTTAGGCTGGGTATCTGTAAAGCACTTTGTGACAACTGCTGGTATAAAAAGGGCTTTATAAAGTAATGTTGATTAGTTGCTTGATTGATTGATAGGACTGCTCCCCCACCGTCACATGATCCAGCTCAGTGTTGTCTGTGGTTTCCGTAGAGACGGTCTCAGCGATGGACTGGGAGTCAGGGTCTGGAAACATCTCCTCTACAGTGCTGATGGATCAGAGGGCAGATACATGTTATAATGGCTTTATGAAGCCTTCGTAAACCCTTTATAATGCCTAGATGCTTCACAAATTATTTATGAGCAAATTCATACTATACTTAACAAAAATTTAAACACAACATGAAACAATTTCAACGATTTTACTGAGTTACAGTTCAAATAAGGAAATCAGTCAATTGAAATAAATTCATTAGGCCCTAATCTATGGATTTCACATGACTGGGCAGGGGCCACTTCGGAGCCAGGCCTGCCCACTGGGGAGCCAGACCCAGCCAATCAGAATTAGTTTTTCCCCACAGATAGAAATACTCCTCAGCACCTCCCCACCCCCCTCAGACGATCCCGCCGGTGAAGAAGCCGGATGTGGAGTTCCTGGGCTGCCGTGGTTGTGAGGCCGGTTGGACGTGGCTTTTGGTAGAGAAATTAACATTACATTTTCTGGCAACAGCTCTTGTGGACATTCCTGCCGTCAGCATACCAATTGCACGCTCCCTCAAAACTTGAGACATCTGTGGCATTGTGTTGTGTGACAAAACTGCACATTTTAGAGTGGCCTTTTATTGTCCCCTGCACAAGGTGCACCTGTGTAATGATCATGCTGTTTAATTAATCAGCTTCTTGATATGCCACACGTGTCAGCTGGATGGATTATCTTGGCAAAGGAGAAAAACTCACTAACAGGGATGTAAACAAATTTGTGCACAACATTTTAGAGAAATAAGCTTTTTCTGTGTATGGAACATTTCTGGGATATTTTATTTCAGCTAATGAAACATGGGACCAACACTTTACATGTTGCGTTTATATTTTTGTTCTGTATATATAAAAGGTATTACTTTCAGGTCCTTACATCTGGCGCATTGCCAAATGCGACATAACCCCTTTCCCACCCTCTATATAGCATTGCAATTGCTTATGAATGATTTATGAAGCAGCTATGAAAGCATTATGAAGGGTTATGAAGGCTTCATAAGGCCTTACAAGTTGTTGTTACTCTTAAATAGGACCTTTCAAACTAAGTTATGTACACATAGATGTAAGAGGAAGAATATACTCGGTTTATAATCTCACGTAGGTACACACTTCCTCTCTCTGGCAACTAGTAGCAGACAATACCCCCCCCCCCCGACTTACTATGACTGTGATATGTGATTGTCTCACCTAGCTACCTTAAGATGAATGCACTAACTGTAGTCGCTCTGCATAAGAGAGTCTGCTAAATGACTAAAATGTAAAACATGTAAAGGTGTTCTGAATGGTGGACTGATTATAATGTGGAGGGAGACAATGGTTATAAGTGTACATGATGAGTGAATCTTAAAGTCAGACTTACGAGTTGACCAAAGAGAGTTCAAAATTATCGAAGTCCCGGAAGATCTCGCTGTAGCGCTTGGTCTCTGATTTGTTGGGGACCTTCACATCTGGGATAAAAGATAGATGACAAACGTGAGCAAGATGTTCACTTTATCTTTCTTTTTTCATAAAATAAATATTACACACAAACACACAAGTTGAAATTGCTTTTTTCAGCTCCCAAAAAGCGATCTGTAAAAAAGCTTACAAAATATCTTCTATGTTTAGAAATAACGAATAAAAGGGGTAAACCAACAGCCAACACCCAGTCGTAAAACACTGTGCGAGGAAATAAAGACGTGTGTGGGTTTGAACAGTGGTGGTGGTGGTGGAGGCCTCAGATGTGTGATTGTATGTTTGTGTAAAAGGCATTAGTTCATCAGCCTCTGGTGAAAAACATATATCACTGTCGGTCACCCATTAAAACACACCAAGTACTGCTGAGATGGCTCAAAATGGAACGACAGACGAGCATATTTGCTTTTTATATAACATCTAATATGGGAAGGAATGCAAATGAACTGAGAAAAAGAGAAATGCAACTCCAACAAAGGGGTTCTGTTCATTTGATACACATTAATTTCCTAGCCTGGTTAGGCCAGACTGAATGCTGTGCTCACTACTGAGAGCAGCGTTCAGTCTGGTTTAACCAGGCTATGCATTTACAGTACATGACTCGGCTGGGGAAAATACAGGTTGATGGCACCCAAAACTGATCGATTGCACATTAACCCTGAGTGAACTACAACCTAATGCTGTAGTCTCTCTCAACAGACGTTTGTGGGCTAGCATCATGTGCTGAGACTGCATGAGGCTAAAAACCTATAGGAACCTGTTACAGTTGAAGCTGACTGTGTTTCACTTTCAGGGCAGTTAACATGCAAAAACACTCAACTCCCAGTTTTAACAGATGTAGATTTTTTTTTAAATCTCTCTCTCTCTCTCTCTCTCGCTGTCTCCATTTAGGTCAACCACATCCTGCTTGTGATGTGTGTCATGTTTTGCTCAGAAGACACAAAGTCCTTGTTTTTCACCTTAGCAGAGTTCTGTTCACATGGCAGTAGAATACAGGTAAGAGATAGTAGAACTGTACACAACCAAGCTCTGCCAAAGTTCAGCTCTATAGCTCAAATTAAATTTAAAAGCAATGTTCCCACGTTCGCGGAGACTGTATTCACAGTAAAAGCTGCATATGTCGGCTCAATCAGAAATTGCCTTGAAATATTAAGCGAGCTATAGAGCTGAACTTCGGCAACATGGATTGAATCGAGCCCTTACTCTAACAGAAAGCAGGGCCTACTGTGCATGTCAGAGTTCTAGAGGGAGATCGAGAGTGGGTTCAAATAGTATTTGTTTTCCTTCAAACTATTTTCTCTTAAATGATGGAGACTGACGTCCCTGACTTGATGGTTTCAAGAGCTTAATAAAAAATTATACAGT